GGACATTCCCCGGTCCTGACCAGGGGTTAGAAATTCGGCCTTGTTTATTGGAATTGGAAGTTGCAACAACTGGATAACCACAGTGGGAGGGAGGGGAGCGATGGAACCTTCGGCTCGCTGAAGAAACGAAGAGGCACCGCTCTTCCAGCAGTGATTATAGGTCATATGGTCGTTGTATTTAGACCTACCTAGTCATCGTCTTAAATGCAACACAGATAGGCAAGCGACTGACCTTTGACCCCTACTAGCCACTGCGCCTCAGAAATTCAACAGAATCGAACTGACCACTGTCAGGTCGGTGATAGAATATTGCGCTAGCCAAACAGCAACTCTGAGTGGGAGGTGCAGACTAGTCCTCCGGCGTCTGCATGTTTCAGCAATAACAAAAGCCAGCTGACAATCCAGCAATACGCACGCCATCAACCCTTAAACCGCCGGATTCAAATTACTTGAGGAATGGTTGTTTCACCACTTCAAAATTCAACAGAATGGTATAGTTTCACCCACTAACTTGAGAGGAGCGTGTAGCCAACGTGCCACAACTCTGATCACATGACCGGGTCTCATCGATTCGGATCGACACGGCAATTAGTGAGCTGGTGTATGCCGTATGGAACGAGCAAATATGGTGTTTTTGGTGGATTAAAAGACTAGATTTCAACAACCTGATTATACTGGGTTAGTGCAATCTTCTGCTGTATATTACAGATTGCTGAAGGGAATTAATTGCTAGCATTTTCTAAAACGACGATTTCTAGGAGAAACCGTCAGCCTGCATCACCATATCGTCAGCCTGAGGCGCAAGAGTAAGTGTTCACGTGCAGAACTTCTCGGAATGTATTCGCTACTGGCGTTTGGTTCTGACGCTGTTGTGTAAAAACAAGCTCAAGCTCACTGGGGCTAACCTAGGACGCATGACATCTGCTCGTCTGAAGACTGCGGAAACCGAACTTGCGGGTTTGCTGGAAACCCATACACTTCTGGTTTTGTGGTTGAAAGCCTTTCCTTATGTTGTCGAATTGTATTCGGTTATTCTTTCGTAAAGCAGTGTTTGACCGCAAGAAAAGAAATCCAACAACTCGTTTGGAAAAATCGCTGACAGATGGTCAGAAGCAAAAGATAATTGCTCATGATCCCAGCACCTACGTGCACAGTTACTCTAATGCGACTAGAGGTCTTGTCATTTGGACTTGTCTACAAACTTTCCCCCAAAAGATAAACACAATTTCAGTAATTTTATCAGAATTTCAAGGCTCTTCAAACTACCACACTTGACAAGCATATCTGGTTTAGGAACAAGTTAACTGCAATTGCCTACGAGATCGAAACACGCCGATACATGAAGAATGCGCACATACAAGCCGGCACCTTCAAGCGCTACGTGACCTATTTGCTAAGTAGGTGGTTGCAAAGAAACCGTATCCGAATGCGGGCGTGGTAATTATGAGCAAGCCTGATTACACACAGAAAATGAGCATCATATCCAACGATGCGACTAAAGTTGAACACCACAAGAAGACATAAAATGTCATTGAGATCATGACCTTCGTCATCCGTTACCTTGCTAGGCTTCTCATCCAGATGGTCCAGGCGTCATCCAGTGAAAGGATCTGAGCATTTTGATCCGGGCCGGCATTCACTGTTCGGATGAGGATGAAACTAACGTCAACAGAGGCGTCTGAAAAGTGGACCTCCTGAAGTGTGCATTCGCACTCTTCTACCCGTCAGTTTTCCAGCAGCTTCTCGGCTCATACATACGTCCAAACGTTGAATACGCAATCAAGGTCTCTCAGCCATAGCTATGAACAGACCTCACCGCTTTGGAGATGCCTTAACGCCGGAAAACCAAGAACCCTAAAGGCTTGTACTGTTTTCCCTATGAACAAAAGCTGAGAATTGTCCGGGTCTTCAGTGAACAATACCGGTGATTGGGTAGGGACTTTATTTTGACCTACTAGATCTTGAGGAACCCCATCCACACGTGTCGTCATTTGCTAGGGCTCAGTCACAACAGTAATTAAAGAAAACACCATCTCAAGCTGGCAAAGCAGTACAGTCGTTTGAAATGCCGTCCGAATTTCTTTTCCGTACCTGTTTGTCAAGCCTGAAAGGTGCTCCCGGAATCTGTCCGTACACCCTCGCTGTTAGGGTTTATAGACCTAGTTGACAGTACACTTATTTCCTTATACGATCTCACATGACCCATTGCTAAACATGATTAATTGCTAGATAGTTCACTGCTGGTCTGTCCCAAGTAGATGTGCACCTTTTTTCATCGCTTGCACGTGTTCACCAGGAGGTGAAACGCTTTATTCAAAATGTCCCATTTGCCGTTGCTCCCTATGGGTTTTCGATGGATTGACAGTTTTAAGGCACTTACCTCGGTAAGTGCAGCGGTGTGGGGTTATTTTTGTTGGTAGATTTTCCATGTTTTGCGAGGTCCATCCAGATCATCTTACAGGACCAGTTAAGTTCTAGCTTTTTTACACATAATTCGGCCGCGTCCTTCAACCGACTCTTCCTTGCTTGCCATGTTCAATTACGGCCATTTCCAAATAGTTGGACGATCTGCCCCAATAGGTTCGAGAGATGGAGACTGTCATCGACCACAGCTATAGTACTCATCGCGATGAGGCTCGACCTTAGCGTGGTGCGATGGTTTGAGTGCTTCAGAGATCCAGTGAGCTATGCTGGGCTGTGCTTTTTTGCACCTTCAGAGCCATTCATACCGGATTGGTCAATGGTTAGTGGCCAGACAAACTCAGTCTCCAGGTCCTCCAGGTTGGGGGTTGGAATGAGGGTGGCTCCTTATTACGTAAAACAGACTCCTGGTAGCCCAACACCAAACCCGCTGTCTTGCGGTCAGGTTTTTGAACCAATGGCTTTGCTGGAGAACCGCAATCGTTCTCCGGTCTAGGCCTGAGCAACCTGACAGTATTCTACCCACACAATACAATGAATCTTTCCTCTAACATTTCTTTATGCTCTGGCCACCGCAGAGGATAATCAACGGTACCCTATCTGCTGCATCGAACAGGGTGGACAGAGGTTTGCATGCTACTGTCAAAGCCTTACCGTCTTCTTATTCCTCTCTTTCGATTTTTCGTCCTTATCGCCCCTTTCCAGCCACTTGTATCCCTCTGTTTTTAACCCCCACCTTGCTTTGATAGGCTTTTACCTTTTAGCTTCAACTCACGGATGAACGCTGAGCGTCATTCCTGCCCTATCGACAGGCCCTTGTCCAAGCAAGCGGCCAAGCCCAGTTCATCGGTTTTCATTGGGAGCCGTCGACCCTCCATCAGATTGGCATACCTCAATGTACGCACATTGCTACAGATCGGTCGACAGGCAGCACTAGCCCGAACATTAAAGACCGTCTAAATCGATATATGCTTCTTATCGGAGACCTGCCTGCAAGAATCGAGCTCTGTGCACACTTTCCGATTCCATTCAGGGGATACCAGCAGCAGTTTCTCATTGCGCTTATCCTGTGACGATGCAGGTTCGAGTGCCTGCTAACTCGGTGTTGGTATTTCCCTGAGTTCAATGGCTGAAGCCAGTCTGGTTGATTGGATCTCAATCAGTAGCAGGATGTGTGCGGTCCAATTGACTGGCTCGTTCAAAGCTTCGAAGTCGCGCGGGACTAACAGGTGTCTATTCGTCATCGTTACCTACGCCCCAACAAACTGTGGTGATGATTTGGTAAAAGAGGACTTCTACCACCTACTGAAGGAGCTCCTTCGACACAGAAGAAGCTCCGACACTGTAGTGCTGGCTGCGAATCTAAACGCTCAAGTTGGAAAAGTATCTATTGATGAACTGCATCTGGGCGGACAGCATGGTATAGGCTCCCGTGCTGATAACAGTGAGCGCTTACTTCATTTGTGTGAAGATGCCCGCTTATGTCTTGCGAGCACTACTTTCCGACACAGCACCCGCCGGAGGATGACTTGGCACCTACCAGCCTGGAACCAACCACGGAAGCAAGTCGATCACACTGCGATCAGTTACCGCTGGAGAGGTTGCGTAAAGAACTGTCGCTCGATTTGGAGCACATGTGTGGACACCGATCATGCACTTGTATGTGCTGACCTACGGATGTGTTTTGGCGGACGCCCACGACGAGTCTGCGAGTGCACTGACACCAGCCAACTGACGAAGCCAGCTGTTCTGAATGCCTATCAAAGTACGCTGACAAGCGAGTCAAGTAAGCGCTCACTGAATGCAATTGAAGCTCACTGGTCTCATGTTCACCAGACCTTACTAGCAGCTGGCGAATTCTCATGTGTTAAGTCTAATCGCCAACTTGGACATTGGGTCTCTTCGCAGTCCCGGGAAATTATCGATGCTCCTCTGCACTTTACGGCTGCAAGCGCACACAATAAGACTTGTAGAAACCTCCAACCAAAACTGCGGGAATCGCGTTCACAGGACACGACTTAGAAGGTGTGGAGCTACTCCCAGGAGAATGACTTCTTGACTTGAAGTATGCTAACAAGATTGCACCAACATGTGACAGCACACCAACGTGCCAAGCGGCATTGGACAGAAAATCACTGGCTGTCCGTCACTTCGGGCTTTGCTTCGCACCCTCAAAATGCAAAGTGTTTCTCCAAGCTTGGTCTGGACCACCTCCTCCGCTGACTCCTGGTGGGGATCAGCTAGAAGTCATTCAAAAATTCAACTACCTAGGAAATTGTGTCAGCATCCGTGGGATTGAAGAGGAGATCATGAACCGTATAACAAAAGCTCGCGACGCTTTTACTAACCCT